TAAATGTGACATAAGGGAAAATGTATGTGGTCCTTTTTGTTCTCCCGTGCAATGGATGTTCTTAGTTTTACTGGAACATCTCTCATATCTAGGGGTGGCAAACAGGCGGGATGGGTCGAATATGGACGGGTTGAAAACGGATAATGCAAAAAATCGATAAATTATCCGACTAGATCCATATTTAATATTGGTAGAAAACGGATTAACCGGTGGATAGTATGGGTAACCATATTATAGATGGCTTTTTTAATATGATCATTTTTGAGAGAATTCCTAATCTCTCATGCTCGAGGAACTCCCCAATTTGAGTCTTTATAAATGTAAAAGTTAAACCATTGGTTATCTATTTTCTAAGTGGATAGTATGGCTTTTATCCATATTTGACTCGTTATTAAAAGTTTATTATCCAACCCATTTTTAGGGAATAATATAGATGGATAATTGTCTTTTTTAATCTATTTTGTCATGTCCATCTAAAAAGTAATACATGTAATATGTATTTCTAGCTAATATGTCTAAGATTTGAACAATATAAAATTAAGAGTAAGGGATGGTGTCTTTGGCACTCTTTGCTAGTGGCGTCATTCTACTTTCTAAGGTCAATGCAAACCCACGACAGAACTTTCATGGTTGGTATGTAACTATTTTGTTGACATTAGTTCTTTACAACTTAGTCCAAATTAAAGTGGGGAACTCCAATAACCATTGCGTACAAAGTATAATGTCAACTCGTCCTAATATGTAAACTCATTTCTAGAGTACTCATTTCAGTCAATAATAAGTGATCATTTTATTGTTGGCACACTCATTAAAGAAATACAAACTTCTAAAGAAAAAAGATGTATTCACTAAATTAACCTTAATTAATTGTTACCTTGACACATTAGAATATGTAAGGGCAAATTTTAAAAAATAAAATTAATTCCTTCTTAATTATGTAAATGGACACTTATTTAACGCCACATAAAATTTTACCAAGGAATTTAAGGTTTTGTGGTGCTGAGGTAGGCTAAAGCGTTCGGAGGTAGAAAATTTTCACGGCGAGACTTTTTGGGTTGAAGAATGCACTGAAGTGTTGATAGGAATTTTTGGCAGAAGAAGGCAATTATGCGGCCAGTTTTTGCAATCGCAGATCCATTATGCGGGCCGCATACCCGTCGCAGAGTTGAGCAAAAAAATTGTTGAATTTTGAAGGTCGTTTCTGCGGTCCATTATACGATCGCATATCCATTCTGCGGTCCGCACTTCCATCGTAGATTTTTTGTGGATTTTGTTTGATGATTCTGTGGTCCATTCTACAGCCGCATAACTGATATGAGCACCGCAAATTTATCACAAACTAGGCCAGGCCAACCTAGTTTTGAAGGACCATTTTGCGGTCCACTTTGCGGGCCACATACCTGATCTGTGGTGCACTCTGGGTCTATAGAGTTGAGTTCGGAGGGTCCATTTTCTAATTTTATAACACGGCCCCAATTTGATTAAAAGCGAGAAAAGAGGGGAGTGTTCTAAAGAGAGAGAAGAAAGCCCCAAGTGCTTTGTTCATCAAGATTTTGCTCAAGCCTTGAAATTCAACAAGGAAAACTTGCTAGTTGTCTTCTAAAGAGGTAAGATTCCATACCCTAGCCTTCAATTTCGAGTTGGGTAGAAGATGGGTAATTGGGAGAGGGATTCTTGGGTATGAGAGTTGTTATTTATGCATGCATGTAGCTATGAGGATGGTAGGGAGGAAATTGAGCTAATAGGAGTAAACTCTTGGTATTGAATTGGTTGTGGGGTGAAGAAAATCTTGTAGAAGAATCTTGTAGTCAAATTTGCACACCTACTATTTGATGAAATGCTTAAATGAGGTGAACCCACGAATATCTTCCTAATTATGGTTCAATTTTATTATGTTTCTAAATAGATCGAAGTTGCTAGGATTTTCAGGACGTTGTAGTACTCTAAAGAAAGCTCAAGCAAGGTATATTGGCTAAACTTCTCTCTTAAAATCGAATTCCATGATGTTTCCATAAGTTTTAAGTATGGTTGGCCCAGGTTTCTAATTCCTATGTTCCGATTTATTACTAATAAATTTGATTATCCCGAGTAAGCAAAGTGTCAAAAGATGTATGTACTCAAAACGTGTTCCAATTACTCCTATCTCATCACAATCTCCATCAGGAATGTGTTCAAGTATGGTTTGTGTGTTAAAGCGTTATAACCTCAATTCATGTTTCAAATGAAAGTCCATTATGCGTAACTTGGAAAGAATACTCAATGCGTCTAAAACTCCTATTGCTCATATATATACTTAAGGCCTTGATTTTGAATGCTTCATATTGTTGAAAATCTATAAAGATGCTTGAAAGTGAAAGAAGTGAGTTGGAGATATAAAGTGTGGCTACACTATCATAGTACTCATTGTATCTATTAGAGGCTCTGTAGACATAGTGTGGGTTGTATGTTGGTGTTGGGAAAGTCAAACTAGTAATGCTATATTTGTACCACATGTTCCACTTCAAACTATGAAAGTGTATGTATTTTGAGACTTAAAAATGATGTAACTAATGATAATGATCCTCCTTATTGTCTAATTAATAAAATAAATCTTCTCTTTCATCATGAGTGAGTTCGGGTAGAAGGTATTGTACATGCTTGCTCGGTCAGGTTATCTCGGTTGAGCGTCGGTCGGGCTGAGGCCGGGGCGTGACAAGCTTGGTATCAAAGCCTAAGGTTTTAAAGTGTCCTAGGATATCTCGGAGCCATATCTGGTAGAGTCCTTTTTATCGGTATGTTGTCGACCACATCTATAGTTAGAAGGCTACTCGGGCATTTAGGAATGTCACATTTCTTTGGTACTCCAGATCGTGCGATAGAGTTCAAGATAAGAAGCTAATTTCCTCGACATGTCTCATTTTCCAAATGAGTAACCCACGAGTTCGAGGCAGCAAGGAGGGACTGAAAAAACTAGTTAGTGGAGGAAGTGTCCTTGTTCCTATCAATGTCATCGCACCACCGAATCATGTGGGGAGGGCACCTAAGAAACGAAAGAGGATTATCGACCCCAATAAGCCAGATTTTTTATTTGTAAGAAACACTACTTAGGTTTATGTTAGATGACTCTTGAAATATGTTATGATTGTGGAAAGAGGGGTCACACGAAGAACAAATGCCCTGGGTTGGATACGCCCAGGTGGAAACATTTTGCGTCGTGTTGTGAGTGTGCTAAGGAGTGTGTTAGGGGTGGTAGGCTTGGGAAATTCCAAAGGCGCACACAGCAAACTGGTACGGAGATTATTACTCCCAATGTGAGGGCCTGGAGGAAGGATAAAGGGGATGCTTATGATGTATGTAAAATAAAAAGTAAAATGGTCACTTATTATGGACCGGAGGGAGTATAACTTAAGAGTAAGGATAGACATAAATGCGACTTACAAATTGCAATTAGAAATGCGTATATGCGACTTGTAAAACACAATAATTATATGCGACTTATGAGTCACAATTAGAATAAGCGACTTATGTAGCTGGTTACTATTAGTCACTTATATTAATCGGAAAGGGCCAAAAATATCCTTGAACTATTTGAAATAGCTCATATTTATCTTTCGTTTATTTTTGGTACCAAAACTATTCTTGCCGTCTATGTTTTGGACCACGAATGCCCTTAAAACGTTAGCCTTGCCACTGGAGCTGACATGGAAATCCAACTTGGTTAAATGTGTTGACGTGGCCGCCCATCTAGCCAGCCCAACCATAGGATAAATCCCCTTCCTTATGCTTTCTTCTTCCTGGTTGAACCCTAATTACAAACAAGAAATCAAAAAATTCAAATGCACCAAAATAGTTTTTCCATTATTCTTGTTTGAGTTGCTCTCCGGACTTTGAAACTCCAATTTCGAAGTGTGCTAAAGATTGTTTAAAGTCGCACATGTGTATTGAAGGATCGATCGAGTTTATTAATTGGGTTTTAGGTTTAACAGATCTGAGGCTGAAATTTTAATTGAAATTGTTGATTGTGGTTGGAACACTTGTATAGCTATTCTTTATGTGTCGAAGTTCGAAAATGGCTGCTGATTTGAAACCTTCTTGGTGATTTTTTTTTTAGTTGGGTTATTGAAGTGCAAAAATATTGTTTCAAATTTGAAGAGATTTAATTTTATGTTACTGCAATTGCTTGGATATTGCGATTGAAACTGAAAATTGAACTTTAACAACTGATTTCTTGTTTTGAAGATCTGAGCTAAAATACCCCAAGAAAAAATTCACGGAAGAGTTCTTAAAAGCTTAAAAATCTGAAAAGTGGTTTTGTAAATTTATAATTGGTTTGGCCTAAGTTTTAGTAGTGATTGTTGGGATTGATATTGTGAAGCTATGACGGATAAGCATCTAAAAATTCAGATCAAACCAATCATAAATTCACAAAAAGAACAATAAAGTTTTTTTAATCAAATCATAAACTCCAATCAAAAACTATTTTTGTATTTTTTAATTTTCTGATTTCTTTTTTGAGATTAGGATTCAACAAAAAAGAACAAAGCATAAACTTTTTGTCATGTTGGATTGCTTAGGTGGATGACCATGTAAGCAAATTTAACCTAGTTAGATTGTCATGTCAGCTCAAGTGGCAAAGCTAAAGTTTTAAGGGCATATGTGGTCTAAAACATAGGCGACAAGGATAGTTTTGGTATCAAAAACAAATGAAGGGTAAAATATGAGCTATTTCAAATAGTTCAAGGGCAATTTTGGCCTTTTTCCGTTTATTTCAGATATGTGACTTATAAATCGTATTCACTATATGATTTATGTTTACTTAGTTTTTCCGACTCTAATTTGTATATTCGACAAGTGAGGCATGCTTAGTTGGTAAAAATAACTTTATCTATGACCGTTAGATCCTGAATTCGAATCACGCCGGAGTAAAAGCGTTAAAACACCGCCTAAATTGGGAGGGTTTCATTGAGAAAAAACAAATCTGTATATTCCTAATACGTGCAAGGTGCGTTGTCTTTCATATTATTTCTTTTTTCTTTCAACGTTAACGTTACACCTCTCTCTCATTTTTGTAGCTATTTCACCCTCCTCCTCTCTCTCTATTCACTATTCCACCATCAGATCTGGTACTGGGAGGAGGGTGGTATAATCACACCTCATCAGGTTCACATTTCTATTCATTTAATCCCATTCATACCTTTTTTCCTATAGATCTCCTTATTTTCATTGATTCATTCATATGTGTAATTTTTTGGTTATCTGTCATTTGTATTTCCAATTTTTGAACTTTTTTGTACCTTTGGTGATTTGAGTTGGAAAATTGAATCCAATAATGGTAATTAATAGCGCTTCAATTTGTTATTGGATTGATCAGCAATTTTTTAAAATGATGAAATAACGAATTTTGAATGGAGCAGGAAATATAGAATATGAATCGTGGCTGGATTATATGGCATTTTTATGGAATTTTGGGTTTAATGCTTATTGATTAACCTTTTTCTGGTATTTGTTTATTTATTGTTTGCATTTACTGAATCTACTTGTGAAAATGGCTGCAGTTTTGCTATGTCTTTGATATAAAATCTAATGCAACAAAATGCCACTGCATATGATTTCGTACTTGGATTGGTTGGCAAAAGAAATGAAAAAAAGGCAATGAAACAAGGATAGGGTGCAACAATTTCACTGATGATTTGTGCTATGACGTGTTATATGTAATGTGCATGTTGATTACTGGTCTTGAAGATGTCTTTATTTGGTTGTCTTCTTCGTGGAATCTATGCCTCTGTTTCACTTGTAAAGATTGGATTTTTGGAACTTGTGGGTTGAGGAAATGACTTCTAACCAGAAACTAGTTGCAAATGAATGTCATAATTCTTTTTTCTTTTCCCAGTGAAAGATGATATTCCTTTTTGAACACCTGAAAATCTGCTTAGTTGGACGACAGAGATGGTGCAGCGATATAAATGACTTTCTTCTGTCTCTGCAGAATCACTTGAAGGGTGCTCGTTTTTTATAGAGTACCTGGCCTGCTAAGTATACTCCAAAATGAAGAAGGCCTTTGGTCAAACTGTGAGAGACATGTAAGTTTAATTAGTTCTAAAACTCTTGTATAAATTCTGTAGTAATTAGCAGAATACTGTTTCTGCTTTGTCCTCCACCATTTGGCACTTCTCATTTCTCTATGTCAGAATTGAAGTACAGAAAAAACAAATAGTATTCAATTAGGTTTTTAATTTTTTTTGTCTTTCATATGTTGCTTGCTTGTGTTAGATCTTTGGCTTGATATGAAATTAGTTACTTTTCCCTCTTATTGCAGCAAGCGAGGGGTGAACAAAAAAGTTCTTAAGGTCCCCTCAATAGAACAAAAAGTAAGCGATATTCCTTGACCCTTTTGTTAGATTGATATCTGTTATTTATGTGCAACTACAAAACTAGATCTACTTCAGGAAATACAAAGAAGGGACTGCAAGTTTGTCTTGCCCATCCCCAACTAAATATTGCAGACCTTTCATTTAGGACTTGGGGTTGAGGTTTATCTCTTGAAGGCTGGAGCGCGAAACTAAAATGTGGAGCGTGTTCATTTTAGTCTTCATTGAAAAATGTTTAATATAAGAAACGACTGTCACGAATAAACTTTTGAAAATGTAAAAGACTTATGATGAATAGTGATATGTGACTATGAAATTATTGTACAGACGTTTTGAAGGGTTAAGAAAAAATGCATTCTTCTTTAATAGCCAATAATGCATTATGTTTTAACCTCAAGCCTAATGAAAACATCCGAAGGTGTTGCTAACCAGACCTATTGCCTTGATGGAAGCATCATGCCTGGATACAAGAAGTGATAGTTTCAAAACTAATCTTTTTTTGTGGTAAGTAGTTCAAACTAATTAAAAAAAAGCATGCTTCTTTGAGTTAGGTCATTATCTATATGTTGGTCCCATTTGCGAGGTGGTTTTCTTTTACTTTTGTGAGTTTGAATCTTATGAATCGTTTGTAAAGAAGGGAATAAGGAGAAGATGTGGCCTGGAAGGGGAGTATCAAATCTGTTTAAGTTCAGAAACAACTAGGTTCTGTCCATAATTTCAGTCTTTTGCACTAATAGATCCATCCATATGTAGAACATTGATGCCCTTGTTAATGACTGATTTAGAAATCAGGGTTAAATCCTAACAGAGACAAAAATTCACTTGGTGATTTCTTTCCATCTGGCTAAGCCTTGGTGGGTTAACCGGTATCTATGCTGTGGGGAGGTAGCAGGTACCGGTGGAATAGTCTATGCAAGCGACCCGTGCACCACCTTTGTCAGAGAAAGAGAAAAAGAATGACCGATGACTGTCGAACTATATTTTGCATTTCTCGCCTTTTATTTTGGTGTTATGTATTTTTTGCTGCATATGCCACAACAAACCTATTGCCTTTTCATTTGCTTGGCGCTGAATGATAGCCCACACTTTGGGTCAGAGAATTGGATAGACCAAAATCTAACATACCTGTTATCTATGCCAAGCATATCTTTTTCGACTCTGGTTTATATTGTCTAATCTTAAATGAACGGAGCTGCACAGGAAGCGTGGAAAATATGTTGATCTTCATATTACTTTCTACATTATTTTCTCATCTGTTTGCTTTTTGGCATCTTAAGGTGCTTGATGCGACTAGCAATGAGCCCTGGGGTCCTCATGGATCACTTCTTGCAGATATAGCTCAGGCTTCAAGAAACTAGTAAGCTTGTTTGTGCCAGCATCTGTATTTAATTGTGCTATTCTTTTTTGCTTTTCTCCTATTTAAGAGTTCATTGCAAAATTTTCAGTCATGAGTACCAAATGATTATGGCTGTAATTTGGAAGCGTATCAGTGATACTGGAAAGAATTGGCGGCATGTGTACAAGGTTCGTGATGCTTGACTTTGTTTTCCTCCTCCCACCCAAGGTTGCATTTAGAATGTCTCCGGAGAATTATATCTTCTGAATGTGGCATTTTTTGTGCTACCAGATCCTTCTGTATCATACATGCTTTGCTTGCTTTGTTATATGTAGTCTAATCTAATGTCCAATGGTTAATTTCAGGCTTTAACTATTTTGGATTATTTAGTAGCCAGTGGGTCTGAGCGCGTCATAGATGAAATAAGGGAACATGTATACCAGATATCTGTAAGTTTCTTCGTTGTTTTTGATTTATGAATGTGGTGACATGTTTTGCAAATTTTTAGTATCTGGAAAATCTGTTAATTGTTGTTTTCTCTGGTCATTATCACAGACATTATCCGATTTTCAATACATTGACTCTAGTGGAAGAGATCAAGGAAGCAATGTGAGAAAGAAATCTCAGAGTCTTGTCGTTCTTGTAAATGATAAGGAGAGGATTCAAGAAGTCCGCCAAAAGGCAGCTACCAATAGGGACAAGTAAGTCTACTTTAATCTGGTTATTTGTCTACAAATTAATACTGCACTATGTTCATATTTGTCCCTTGTACACAGGTGATACGTAAATATCCCTAACTATTGCTTATTCCAGAATAGACCCTTGTGGTCCGGCCCTTCCCCGAACCCCGCGCATAGCGGGAGCTTAGTGCACCGGGCTGCCCTTTATTACTTGTTCCAGAAATTTGGCAAATATTTTGCCAAACTTTTGTTCTTTTCCATTGGTAGTCCTTACAATGGCAGGGTGTCTTGAATTTTCTCATCTTCTTGGTAGATTCCGCAACACATCAGTGGGTGATATGCATCAACCTGGTTCGTATTCAAGTTCAGGAGGATATGGTGACAGATATGAAGAGGATCGTTACGGAGGCAGAGATGAAGAGAGAAATGGTTATGGAAGAGATGAGGAAAAATATGGCAGGTATGGTGACTCATACAGCCGTGATGGGGATCGCTATGGTAGAGGTTATGATGAACGCAGCCGAGATGGAAACAAGGATGATGATCATCGTGGAAGAAGTCGAAGTGTAGATGATTATAGTTATGACTCAAGAAGTAGGAGCTCTGACAGAGACAAAAATCGTGCTTATGATGATGATGATGGTCAATATTCTTCTAGGTTTGTCTTTGCGCCTTTCTGTATATCTAAGAAGGCATTATTTTTCGTGACCTAGTGTAAGTTTCAAGTTCTGATAGAAAACTGAATAAGATCTCTTCTAGCACCCTTTTTGATTCCTGCCATTATTCTGAAATTTGATTTGCAAGTTCCATCTATTCGTTAATATTCTGGCCTTCTTCACTAGTAATGCATTGCTTTAATCTTCATGACTATTACCTTTTACCAACAGAGGAAGTGGTGCAAGGGCTGAGGATCGTTCTCAAGATGGAAGGTGATACTATCAACTCTTTTTAGTTTTTTTTTTTTTTTTTTGATAAAGTAAGATGATTCATTGATTGGCATCAAGAAAATGCAGAGGTTACAAAAGCGAACATGCGAGCTCCAACAACAACGACAAACACAGTAGTTTCCCAATCAAAAAAGACTTGCTTTTGACGCCCCGCTGTGCCGACCAGCAGCGGGATGCTACTTACGAGCTGGTCAGGGACAGGTTCCGGTCACTCTTTAGATGCCATGTGGGGTCTTGGGAGGGTAAGATGTACGCAGCCTTACCCCAACCCCTGGGGCAAAGAGAAGTTGTTTCCGATAGAGAACATGCTAGTTCCAATACAGGATATTATAATAAGTCTGGGAGCTAGCCAAAAAAGATCCAAATCTAGTGAGATCACTATTAGATCAACTCTTTTTAGTTTTTCTTAAGTTCTGTTACTAGATTGGTTTAGGTGACCCGAAAGAGGAACCACAACACATTGTACTCTCTTGGATGACTTAAACCTTATATGTATAATGTGTATATGTAGCATCAGATGATACATAAATAAACATATACAACATTAGATCAATTAGAGAATGGTTCTATCTATGACAATATTAAACATGTTCAATTTCAGTGTCACTGATATGCGGCTAGAAAGAAGGTTTTCTGAACAAAACCTTGATGCACCTCCCAGTTATGAGGAAGCTATTGGTGCATCACGAAGCCCCACACATAGTGAAAGGTAATAGTTGTGTGAGAAGATTCTTAACTCAACTCCTCTTCCTGCAAATTTGTATTGATCTTTATTTTTCTTTGTAAAAGGAATGGGGAAACACCTTCAGCATCTGCTCCTAAATCTTCTTCTCCTCATTCAATTGGGAGTCCAAACCAAGCAACCACCCCTGCTCCTGCTCCAACTGCTGCTTCATTGCCCACTCCAGCACCAGCTGCTGCTTCACCAGAGAAGAAGGATATTGAGAGTTTTGATGAATTTGATCCCCGGGCTTCTTTTTCAGGTAGTGACATACTTTAAAGATCAGCAGGCAAATTAATACTTAATGCTCAAGTATACCAGTGTAGTCAAACACTTTGGAAAGGTGTTTTCTGGTAAAGAAGGCATATTGGTTTCCTTTTGTCTTCTCTAGCTGGGACCTTAGTAATCCTTAGTTGTGTGGGTTATCCTCTGTCAATTAAAGGTGTTACTCAATCGCGTTGCATGCTTTAGGTCATTTTACTTGATTGGGGTTGATGAAGACCTCTATTCTTTGAAGTTTTATGACTTTTTAGAAACTGTTCAACATGAAAATATATTTTGCCATTTTGGAAACTACAAGTTCATATTTTACTCTATGGAATACACCTAAAATAAACAGAAAATTTTAAGCTAAATAAATATGCTGATACAGATATACTCCTTTGGTAGGTTTTAAGAACAAAAAACTTCTCCTTTTGTCTTCAAAAGCAATGATCGATTCTCAAGAGGAGAATTTTGCAATTTAAAATGACCAGTTCACCAGAAAGATAACTTCTATAATTTACTTCTTTTAAGACCCACTTCTCACTCAGACAACACTCTCTTTTCTTATTATAAGACTAAAAGGCAACTTGTGCCCCCACGTTATCCCCCTTTTATTCATTCTTATCTTAAAAAAGGTACGCAGTCACACGTAGACATCATTGTTTGGCATAGGGATCATAAAATAAGGGGCAATTCAGAGATTTAACTATATAAATTGAAGCTACTATATGGATTTTGATTTCTTCATATGTTGATTAGTGACATTTATTTGATTGATAGGTTATTTTTCATGTCACGTTGGAAAATCTGATACTTTTTATATGCTTTGTAAATGCTACCAGACTCCATCTACCCTATACTTTTACTTATTTATTGCACATCATGGCATGTGTTACTTAACTGTTCTGAGCTAATACTTATTACTGCTGTTTGAGCAGTGGCCGGAGCTCAATCGAATGGTGCCATGCCGACTACTTCCGGTGGCACTGAAGTGGATTTACTTGGGTCCTTATCTGAGCCATTTTCCTCCAATTCATTAGCCCTTGTATCAGCAACTACAACCACCTCTGACGTTAATCCTTTTGGGCCTACTAGTTCTGAACCTATGTTTGGCGGAGCATCACCTGCAGCTTCTGTCCCTAACCAGGTTGGCTTTAATTCATAGACAGGTTTACTTTGTACTTCATTTTATGGCCTCTTCATCCTAACAGTCATGTACTAATTCACCTTTACAATGTATATTACATTCCCTCCAGCGCACTTGATGTTATTTGTTTGATACCATTTGCCTGGATATTTATTGACAAATTTTAACACATTTTGGCTTTATCTGTGTGTGTGGTTGGAAGGAGGTTAGATAAGCCAAAAACACAGCAGACATGAAGAGGACTATGTAAATGGAAATTGACGATCTTAATCATATGTTGTATGCCTATATCATATTACACACCAGTATTTTAATCATCATCTGTTGTCATTTACGTAACAACTGAAGTTTGCGCTTTCCTGTAGATGTTTGAGGATCCTTTTGGTGATGGTCCGTTCAAAGCTGTACCGACCTCAGAGACAGTGCAAATTCATCCGCAGAACATTGCTCCTCCATCTTTCCTTCCTAACTCAAATCAAAGTGCTGAGGTTTTTCTGTCAGTCCCTCAGAGTGCTGAGGTCCCGAGTACAACATATGCAGCACCCAATTATGCTCAGCTGGAGCTGTCCACATCCAACCATGATATTGATATATTGGCTGATATTCTCCCGCCTTCTGCTCCTTCACATTCTGTGCATCCCTCGAATGACCATGCAATCCCAAGTGGCCAACTTGCGGCACAGACAGGTTTTCCATCTGACAGTTGGCTAGCTGCACAGCCAACAGGTCATGCTGCTTCACTAACAGGTTTTGCAGCTCAACCTGGTTTACAGTCACCGCAAACAAGTTTTCCCATCCATGGGCAACCTGTATCTCAGATTGGGTTCTCTGCTCAAACGAGCCATTCTCCATCTTTTGGTGGTTATTCGGTTCCACCTGGCCAAACACCACAGACAAGTTTTGGGCCGCAAAATGGCCCTGCATCTCTTAATGGCTTCCCATCTGCATCGGGTTCATTTCCCCACCCTGGAATTCAGGTCACTGCTGGTCACTCTATGCAGACTACTGCTAACTTTGGAGGCTACAGCACAGGATTGGGATCTACAGGTTCAGTTGGTATGCAAATGGGTCAAACTCCCACTGGATCATCTTTCTTTGCGCAGCCAGCTACAGCATCCGATATACCTTCACAAATGAATTTTCAATATTCACAAAATCAAACAAGTAATTTATCAGTACCCTCACAGTCTACTCCAGTTTCAACAGCTCTCATCAGCAGCAACCAGCCAGCCAAAGACAAATTTGAGACAAAATCTACCGTTTGGGCAGATACGCTGAGCCGTGGATTGGTCAATTTGAACATTTCTGGACGTAGGTTCTCGTGCTTTTGCCTCTCCGAAATCTGAATATCTTTTCTTTTTCTTCGTAGTTATAAAGTTGCATTTTTGTGTATGCAGCTAAGACAAATCCTTTAGCTGATATTGGAGTGGATTTTGATGCTATTAACCGCAAGGAGAAGAGGATGGAGAAACCTAGTACAGCCCCTGTGACATCAACTGTTACCATGGGCAAAGCAATGGGTTCGGGTTCTGGTATTGGTCGTGCTGGCGCAGGTGCTCTAAGGCCTTCATCAAATCCAATGGTAGGGTCTGGCATGGGCATGGGAATGGGTATGGGTGCTGGTGCTCCTGGAGCGAGTGCGGGCATGGGAGTATATGGAGTAAACCAGCCTATGGGAATGGGCATGGGAATGGGGATGAATAGACCAATGAACATGGGAATGGGCATGAACTTGGGGCAAGGAGTCCACATGCAACAGCCAACTGGATTTCCTCCTGGATCTACCATGCCAGGAGGCTACAACCCCATGATGGGCAACGGTAACTATGGCCAACAATCATTCGGTGGTGGATACCAATGAGCTTAAGCCTGTCAATTCGGAAAGTACAGAATGTTTCCTAGTGAATAGCCTGTTGAGCTCACCATCTGTTGTAGAGTCCATACTTTTGGGTTTTACATGTAGTTTTTGCGGATAAGAGGTTAGAGTTGTATCTTAATTCATTCTTTCAGCATTGTTCTATAGTTGCATTACCAATGTCCCCTATTTTGGGTCAGAGAGCGCTTGCATAGATGACTCAAACATTGTTTAGTTGTGTACAATTGAGGATCACCTATCTCAGGTGTCCTCTTTTTTTGCAATTCGATCCATATATACATGTAGATTTTTTGGAGTCATTGACTATGGAACACCAGATTGTTGAACAATAATATGATCATTCATTTTATGTATTGATTCACTGACATACATCAGTCTTTTTAAGTTCTTGTCATTTTTTGTTTTTATTCTTGAAAATTTCCTGTATTGGTTCAACCTGTTCAATCTACTACTAACTACTCTTATTACTGTAGTAATAGACTAAAGCTCCCATGAGTGTTAGTTGAGCTCCACGTTGATCTCTCAACTGTTGAGGTAGCTTCTAGGACATGATTGAAATTCAAGGGGGTTTTCCCAAAATATGCACTTTTGGCGCAACAATTTCAGTGGTATGTTGTTGTCACGACCCGGATTTCCCACCCTCAGAGTCGTGATGGCGGCTACTAATGAGAGCTAGGCAAGCCAACCCTTAACTACCTAATTCATTACCAAATTACTTCTTTTTAACAATCACAAGCAATAACATGAACACAACAGAACTTTAAATAATTAAGCGGAATATAACAATGAAATATCTGAAATCAGCGTCTATTACAACTTTTAAAACCTCAAAATGCCCAAAATCTAGTGTCACAGTATCACAGACTGTCTAAGATTACTACATACAAGGTCTGAAGAAACAACAGTACACTGTTTCTGAATAAAAGACAAAGGAAACAGGAAGTAGAGATAGAGGAAGACACCAGGGCCTGCGGACGCCTGCAGGTCTACCTTGGGTCTCCGGGTGGACTAAAAGAAGCACTCCAACTACTGTCTGAAAGCTGCTCCTGGATCTGCACACAGTGCAGAGTGTAGTATCAGCACAACCGACCACATGTGCTGGTACGTGTCTAGCCTAACCTCGGCGAAGTAGTGACGAGGCTAGGACCAGACTACCAAATAAACCTGTGCAGTTTAAATATATACAGTGGAAAAGAAAATACAGAAATAACCAGTCCATGTGAGAGGGGGAAACATGCTGTGGGGGAGATAACAGTTCTGAATAGAAAGGCATCAAGTAAGTAAAGAAGCAACATAACTCGAATATCAACACAGGAACAGAAATCAACAATTTGCACGGCATCACCCTTCGTGCTTTTACTCTCGTCCTCACCAAAGCAATTATATAACAAAAGTGTGCACGACATCACCCTTCGTGCTTTTACTCTCGTCCTCACCAACGCTATCATATAATAAAGATGTGCACGGCATCACCCTTCGTGCTTTTACTCTCTTTCCTTACCATATAATCAATAAAATCGGCACGGAATGGTACATCGTGCGGCACGACATCACCCTTCGTGCTTTGCACTCTTTCCTCACAATATCAAACAATGCACGACATCCCCCTTCGTACTTTAACACTCTTCCTCACCCAAACAACAATCATAAACAAGGGGCAAGGGAATAAATCGGATCATATAGAAATCCCGGCAAGGGAACAACAACTAAATAATTAAATCCTGGCAAGGGAACATTTTAATAACTCTTTCTCTGTCTTTCACTTTTACTTCATAACTCACTTTACCACTTGAGGCAATGCTCTAAAGGGTCCAATCATCTCATATACTTTCACAATTCGTATTATAACTTGAGCCAATGCTCCAAGATGTTCAAAGGTCACAATTCCTTCCACAAACTTTTCACAACAACAAGAAATCATCACCAAGGCATGAAAAATACAACGAAATCAAGATGTTCATGATATAAAGACTCACGGTCATGCTAGACACCAATGTATAGATACTCGTTACCATGCCTATACGTCGTACTCAACAAATACCACATAGCAATTAGGACTCAACTTTTAATCCCTCAAGCTAAGGTTAGACCAAACACTTACCTCGATGTCACGAATACAACTGAAGGTTCAATTATAGCTTTACCTCTTGATTCCACCGCCAATTCGCTCGTATCTAGTCACAAATTACTTAATTACATCAATAAATACTAAATGAATCAACCCCAATGCATAAAAATGAGTTTTCCAAAGTTTTACCCAAAAAGTCAAAAATCGCCCCCGGGCCCACATGGTCAAAACCCGAGGTTCGAACCAAAACCCGATTACCCATTCCCCCGCGAACCCAAATATATGATTTGTTTTGAAATCGGACCTCAAATCGAGGTCCAAATCCCCAATTTTTGAAAAGCCTAGGTTCTACCCAAAACACCTAATTTCCCCCATGAAAATCTTTGATTTTAAGTTGAAATTATGTTAAAAGATGTTAATGATTGAAGAAAACTAGTTAAAAATGACTTACAATTGATTTGGAGAAGAAGAAATCCTTGAAAAATCGCCTAAGTGTGTTTATGTTTGAGGGAATATGAAAAACGGGTTTTAAAATCGGTTAAATATAGAAGTTGCAGGTTGCAGGTATGAGAATTGCGAACCCCGACTTCTGATAAGCTGGGAAATGCGAACAGGGTTCGTATTTGCGAACCCTTCAGAAATCCCAAACTTTCGCATTTGCGAACCCTTCAAAAATCCCAAACTTTCGCATTTGCGACTTCGCATTTGCAAAGAGGATATCGCATTTGCGATCATAGAGGATTAAGGCAGGCATCGCATTTGCGACGGCTACTTCGCATTTGCGAAGAAGGCTGCCCAGGCCAACTCTCGCATTTGTGGTCCATGGCTCGCATTTGCGAGACTGGCTTCGCAAATGCAAAGCCTGCAGATCAGAAACACACCAGCTATTTTTCAAAGTTCAAAATGCACCCGTGGCCTATCCAAAACTCACCCGAGCCTTCGGGGCTCCAAACTAAATATACACACAACCTTAAAAATATCCTACGAACTTATTTGTGTAATAAAATTACCAAAATAACCTCAATAACAACGAATTAAACCTCAAAATCATAGAATTTTCTCAAACTTCTTTAAACATCAACTTTAGCAATTTAGGTCCGAATCACGTCAAACGACGTCTGTGTTTTTACCAAATTTTACAGGAATGTCTTAAATCATATATAAGACCTGTACCGGGCACCGGAACCAAAATACGGGCCCGATACCATCATGTTCTAATCAAATTTTATTTCAAATTTCTTTAAACAATTCCAGAAAACAATTTCCTTTAAAAATTCATTCCTCGGGCTTGGGACCTCGGAATTCGATTCCGGGCATACGCCCAAGTCCCATATTTTCCTACGGACCATCCGGGACCGTCAAATCACGGGTCCGGGTCCGTTTCCCAAAATGTTGACCGAAGTCAAATTAACTCATTTTACAGTCAAAAATTATCATTTTTCACAGATTTTCACATCCAGGCTTTCCAGCTACGCGCCCGGACTGCGCACGCAAATCGAGGTGATGCTAAAAGAGATTTTTAAGGCCTCAGAACACGGAATTTCTACGGTTGTTTTTAATAAAATACCATAAATATGCAAAATGCATTTGTGGAATGATGGAAACCGTTATTATATAGGCCATAAGTCGGATATACTAAATACAATTTGTAGATTATATGCTAGATGCGATTTATAATTTGTGTAAATATCATACATTATACAATAAATATGTGATTCTTAGTTTAGATATATATTAAATACATGAATGTATTATATGCATTTGATTTGTTCTTTTCACTAAATAGTAAAACATTTAATAAAAATGAAGTGAAAAGTAAAGAAACTAAAAATAAAAAAGAAAATCTCTCTATTTTTTTTTATTGATTTTCTTTTTCTTTCCATTTCAATTCCTTAATCTCTCTACTATTTTCTTTTTCCTTTTTCTTTCTATTCCTATCTTATACGGCCTCTACAAACTATTTTTCTTTTCTTTCCTTCTATTTTTTTTTTCCTATAGCTGCTTTATCAATTTGTTTCATTAAATTTAACATTTTGGTAATATATTATTCAAAAACCTTTAAAAAAAAGGGGAAAATCTTTTTTTTACCACATCCAATTTAATTCTTGGGAGTTACTGTATATACAAAACCTTAAATAAAAGAATCAATAATTTTAATTGTTACACTTCTAGTTAGGTAGGAGAAAAATGCGAAAAAGTGATAAAAATAATTGGTCATTTTAGTTCTGGAAAAGTGCCACGTTACATCTCTATAAGTTAGATACAAATCGTATTCTTCATGCGAACCTATAATCTATTAGTAAAATCCAGCAAAATATAAGAACTTCTATACCATATATTTTCTATTCTCCAAAAGCAAAAAAAAATAGAAAAATGCTTGTAACACCAGAGTCACTATTGCGACACCATGATCCATATACAACACACACAAAAATAAAACAACAAAAGTGACTTGAAAATAGAAGTTAGCATACAAACCACAAAAGTAATGAAAATTCATAGAAAAGCTAGCCAAAATTAATCATGTATCATTAAAATAAAAGTTTGCCAAATTTCTTTACTATCTCTTCGAACTAGATAGAAAGATATATTTAGTATCATCATCTTCTTCTCCTTGGTTTATCCCATATACATAAACATAGTCTGATATATATAAGTGTAGATGCACAAGCATTTGCTGAAATATTTAATTTTATTCTAATTTTAACATGTAATACGAAATACTGTTAAAACGAAAAAGAACTTGAAAACTCATCAGCCATGTAGTTCAAATAAAACCAGAAACCACTTATTACCCCAATCGACCAGATGTTGGATCTCGACAACCTTTTGGGCTGAATCATAAGGATCTGGTACAAAGAGCCCGTTTGGACATACAAAATTCTTTTTTTTCAAAATTTTGTTTGAAAACAATGTTTGCTTATTAGTATCTTATCAATTTTTTCAATTTCATTTGAAAATGCATTTTCAAACTGGTTCTTACCAGTTTTTCAATTGAAAATGAGATTTTGCTAGTTTTTTATTTTATAAATTTACGCTATACTTTTAAAATTTATAAAATGGCCCCATCAGTTATTAACCTACAACTACCCACCTGTTTCTCCTCGACGTCAAATGAAGCTACTACAACGGATAATGAACCCTTATCTTGTGACGACTACCCTATTGGTACTGGGCCTGTGAATATGAATACAACTATTGTTAATAGCCGCGGAAAGCGGACCATGTTACAAAATGTGATATTGATTTTACATCTTCTGTATATTGCAGTAAAGCAGAATATGATGACAGTTAAATAATAGCATGTTTGATTGTTTATTTCATGTAGGATAACCAATTTGCGATGGTTTTGATATTTTTTACAAGTTGCGGGGTATAAATCATGTTTCATAGTTTTGAAAAAAATTTAGTGAAATTCCAAACTTTGAATTTTGTTTTGGTAATTTAAGGCGAAACGCCTACTAAATATGTAAGTCGCATACTTTGATTGCGTTTTAGAAGGCGCATTTGCTAAGTCGCATTTCGATTTTATATTTATAGCATTCTAAACAAAAACGGTACAAATTACTCGTAACTGCAATCGAGGAAAGATCTCGAGTTGCAGGGAGATAGCGCAAACAGCTGATTTTAACTGGTAATTTCTTATTTCCCTTTTTTTTTTCGCTTGCTATTAGTCTTAAATTATACGGGTAAATTATATAAGTGGCTGCTATTGATGTTTTACAGTAGAACTCAGTGATACTAGCTGAATAAAACTGCGACATTCTTGCCCTTTTGTCAAAGTTTCTGATTTCTTTTTGTTTTTCCTTGAGGACAGATTGAAATAGAAGTACCCCTTTTGTTTGCAGAATCTGAAACCCAAAAGAAAAGGACTTGGAATGTCTTGTTTAGCCAAAAATCCATTTTTATTTAAAAAAAAAAACTNGTGATGTCTTTTTCTCATCTTAACTCAACATCTTCTCATGTAGGGTCTGATAGCTATGTAGATCTTTCTAATAACTCCTACCCCACCCCATGCAAAAAAAAAAAAAAAAAAAAAAAAAAAAAAAAAAACCACCTTTTGAGTTTTAAAAAGAAAAAAGGGAAGGTAAAATACATTGCTATAGAGACATCAGGCCATCTCCAACCTTACCCCATTTCCCCATAATGAGGGCAATTTTTAGGGTAATGAAGCTCCAATCCTCTCCCATTTTTGTCCCCAAAATGGGGGATGAATAGTGTTCCCTCAAATATGGGTTACACTATTCATCTCCCCCATTAGTATTCATGCTTTGTTTATTATTATTTTATTATTTAACTTTTTTAATTTATTTCTTTATATATACCTAATTATGTTTATGTAATATCTTTATGATATTAATTTTGCATCTTAAACTTGGCGTATAATTATGATAAATTAATTTTCGTGCATTTATTATTTTTATGTAAAATTATAAGTTAATTTTATTATAAGTTATAATTGTACAAAAAATATATAATCATCTCAAAAAATGGATGGTGCAAATATAAAATATTAGATGTTGCTACATGATATAATGACTACATGTATTATAGTGCACAACACGATAACCGAGAATGAGTGTGATCTTAATGCACCAATTCAAGATGATTTGGAGGTCAACCTCCAACAGTAAAAATGGCAATAGATGAAAATCAACGATTTCAAGAATTTTTAGCTCGACATAGAAGAATTAAGGACAAAGATGTTCATTTTGCACTTCGTAATGCATTAATAGATCATTTAGGGGAGAATACTAGAGGTTGAAGTTGAATATTGATGTAGTATTTCGAATGAATCTTATCGTTATGTACTATGTATTTAATTAATCTTGTATCGCAATGATTTCACTTTTATTTGAATTATTAGTTAATCTATAATAATTGCTTACAAATTATATTATTTAAAATTTTATGGAATTGTTTTAATGGAAATTACAAATTAATGAAAATAAAAGATGAAATTTGTTTAATGGAAATTAAAAAATAAAATTGAAATGAAAGATAATAATATAATATAGAAGATAGAGAAGAATATAAAAAAGAATATTCTCTTTTGGGGGAAAAAATGGGGGAATGGTTGGAGTAAGTTGTCCCCAAAATGGGGAAATTCTCATTATGGGAACCAAAAATGGGGTAAAGGTCGGAGATGCCCTCAAGAAATAAGAAGGTACAGGTGGGGTCAATGAGAAAAGCCAAAGAAAAAAAAGGAAAAAGAAAAGCTCTTTAATTTTACTCCCTCCATTTCAATTTGTTTGGCATAGCTTGAATCGACATGGACTTTAAAAATAAAAGAATACTTTTGAAATTTGTGTTCTTAAATATGTCGTACTATAATGCTTTTGAAACTTGTGGTCCTAAACATGTTATAACAAATTTGTGGCAATAAAAGTCTCTCATTAAGGAAATATAGAGTTGTGTCATTCTTTTTGGAATAGACTAATAAGGAAATAGTTCAAACAAAGTGGACTGAATGGATTATGTGGAATGGCTCATGAAACTTGTCTAATAAGATGTGCTGCTTAGTAAATTGTCTTCTCTTCTATGTTCGATAATATGTGCTTCTTGTTGGATTGAACATCATCACCATCTAACTCCTCAACCAGGAACATTGATTCTTTTCAAGCCGAATTCCATATGAGGTTTGCGTGCTTGTAATTACTGAGAGCAGTGTTTGTCATCTTCAGTTTTATTTAACTTCTAGCAAAGGTGAGCTGCAGTATTTGTGAAACTCGTGGCTTATCTGTGCAAGGTTTTGCTTTTTAAGTCTTACATGTTGAACTTCTTCGAAAAGCAACAAACTCAAGACTGCATGCCGGCAGTTAAAACCTGAATGGACTTCTGTTAGCTCTTACCTTTGGTAGCACTTCTGAGAATCTCACAGATACTCAAGAAGAAAGTTCACCTGAGATTCTGAGAATAATGCTCGGCCAATCTTTTCTGATAATTAGCCAGGCTACGATTTTAATAGCTGCTAAAGCACTGCTGCTACAACTGCTGTCGCTTGTAGAATTAGTTTATACTGGAAAGTGAAGTTCTATATATGGGAGTAATTGCTGATAGCCCTTTCAATTTTATGTTTACTTTGTTTGTCAAATGAAAGTTTCAAAGAGAAAAAACAACATTTGGTAAAATAAAGAAGAAAAGGAGAAAATCATGAAAAAGAATGAGGTGCTTTAACTGGTTGTAATTTGGTTAACTGCTTAAAGAGCTGATTGGCTTCAGCCAGTGTATTGAGATCCATTTGAACTCAACACATGTAGGACTATTAGGTAAAGTGGATGAATCTGGGTTGGGTGACTTTCTGCTGTAATCGGTATACTCACCTATTTGTTACTATCACTCAATATTGAAAATCTATTTACTGGTCAGAAGTATAAAGTCTTACGCTAATCGTTTTGTAGGAAGGTATTGCAGCTCTGATTTTAGAAAGAGAGTAGCAGCAAGATGGCATATGAACTAGACGAGCAAAAAAGTGAGCGTCATCCTTTGATTAGCTTCTGCAGATTCCATTTTGTGTTCCATGTGATAGTGTTAGTCTAGTTTTTCTTTCTCATTTTTATAATCCCTGCTATGCATTTTCTCACACCTATATATGAAACAAAATAATGTATATAATAAGAAGCTTAAAAAGTGGTAAACAATATCCACTATTGTGAATAATGATGGAATTAAATCAAAAGGCTTTGTTCACTCAGTGATATAGTAACACCATATTTTTTTAATCTCTCTTAAGAGTTTTCAACAGATAATGATAGTAATATGTCTGACTTTCCAGTCAGTGTTGTCAAAGGCTCCTTTAATAGCTATAAAAATGACTTCCAGCCACTGTTGTTCTCCAAGTCCCCGGCTCTATGTACAAGGCTTTGTAAAAAAATTTAGATTTCACTGCTAATAGTATCCTTATCTTTCCCCGTCGGTCTCCAGATTTTCAATAAGAATTTATCTTCGAAGAGAATTCACCATTTTTCAAAGGAACTTGGTATTTTTGTTCCCCCCACCCCCCACCC